GCACATAAAAAACTTATCTATATTATGTAAGATTCATAATTATAATTCGAATTTGTTCAAATCGTCTTGATTTGAATAACTTGACACAACAATTTTGTTTGTGCGTTGATAAGACGAATTTGAAACTCTTTGTGTGTAATTTCATTAACGTGAATTGTTTTTAATTTGTACTGTCACGCCCTAAACTGTTTTGCTGCATGTTGCAAGCAGCTGTTGAACAAAATTATGGGTTTTGGGGTATGACATACTCTGGCACGAAACCATAGATATTCTATGTGAGGGCCGTGGGGCAGAACGTTTAAACACTAATTCCGCTATAAAATTAATTCAATTAACATAACATAACATAATGATGTCGGCGCTGAAATGTAGGCCTGATGTGGCCTGTCGCCGATTCTTTTTCTTTTCGTGCCTTGTTCATAGATCTAAACTCGTATCATTTGATCGGATCTTTTCATGACTGGCGATAGTTTGAAGTAGCTACTAGACTTCCACCGGGTTCGATATGGTGCTAGGCATTTCAAATCTGAACATATATTTTTCCATAGCTTTATCTAGTCTGTTCTTGAACGCGTTCATACTTGGAGCTCCAACGATGTCATCGGGGAGGCTGTTCCACATGTCGGTGATTCGAAGCGAGAAAAAATGTTGTCGCGTGGAGAAGTTGCAGCGCAATTTTTTTAGCTTATAGCCGTGGCCCCTGGTGTTGGTTCTTGTTTCAAACTCTAGTAACCCTTCAGGGACCTTGTATAGACCATGAGTATACTTGTATACTTCAATGAGGTCCCCACGCAGACGTCGATAACTGAGGCTTGGAAGCTTCATAATCTTCAATCTTTCTTCATAGGACTTGCCCTTCATGCCTGGAATTATCCTTGTTGCACGTCTTTGAACATTCTCTATTAAATTTCTGTCCTTTTCAAATCTCGGTGACCACACAACGTTTCCAAACTCTAGACTCGGGCGTACGACGGCAACAAACAACTGCTTCATCGTTTCTGCATCTAGGAACTCGTATGAGCGTCTGATTAGTCCAAGAAGTTTGTTGGATGTGTTAGCTTGTGACACGTTGTCGTCTACCTACTAGAAAATCTCTGATCCATTGGAGTACGTTTCCCTCAATCCCCAAGGACTTCACTTTACGCAACAGCCGCTCATGCGGAGCACTGTCAAATGCAATTGACGGCTGTTTAATTCTGCGTGCTCAAGAGAGAGCTAAGTGCTGTTGCCTTCCAACAGTATAGTAATATTACCATGCATTAAAAAGTTACAAAAAATAGTTTCATCTTGCAGATGCGCACAGTCGTGTTGTTCACCACTACGGCTTTGTACTCGGCCCTGGGGCTCGCCTACCCGGCCGATCTCTTGACGCTGGAAAAAGGAATTCGGGGCCCCGTCGAGCCTGGCAACTTGGACTCAGAGATCGCGTCTTCGGAGGAACTCTTTAACGCCGCGGAGCTGCGATCCCGGAGATCTGACGGTTTGGAGGATCTGACCGATTCATCTCTTGAATCAGATGAAATGACATCTGTTGATGGATCCCATAGTTCTCATGTAACATCTGCTGCTCAACAGGACTCTGAGGAAACAACTGTAGCGGTCGGTTCTCGTGTCCCTAGATCATTGGATATCGTGAATTCGGCGTTACCAATTATCCGCCAAATTCTTGAGTCTGAGTATTATTGGATTGGTCAGATTTTAGGAAAGACCGACTCTTCTAGCCCTTTAGTCCAGTAAATTTTCAACTCAATATATACAAATTTATTCTAGATTTGATTATGATGAAACGACTCAAGCTCCTGATGTTTAAAATCAGCGCAGGATGATGATATTACCCAAGTTCCGTATGATCAACAGGTATTGATTTATTAAGTTAGCGACATTCAATGTTTGCGTATTTATTGGCATAAATTTATCATAGTTTATCCTAATAATAACAACTAATAGCTACCGCCTGTGCAGCAGTTATTAACCGACATCTGTTGTATTTTTTAAATTAGAATATTTTATGGAATTTTGGTAGAATCTGAAATTAAAGAACTATTTAACCGTTGAAACTTTTATTGAAGTACTTCCGAAAAATGAAGTGATGAAGTGGTCCACAGAATGAAACCTGGGGGGAAACGATATGAGCTATCTGGAACTCACTGAGGTAGAATACGTAAATATTAGTTTTGATTCAAACATTAGAAATTAAAAACACAATATTTAAATTCAAATGAATGAGTCAACGTTTCAGGTTTGAATGCCTCTCTCTCCAATTCTCACCAAATTGCCGGTGGCAACAGAACGTAATGATCAAGGGTCAGCAGCAGGTTAAATAAACAGTAGCGGCTGGGTTGAAGACTAATTGGAAAGTAGGTAGTAGGTAGGTAGGTAGACCAATTGGAAGTTGAGTAGATTTTTATCTGAATGAGACGGATAAACAGTACAAACCTATATTTGACTAATTCAAGGTAGGACGCAATGGATTGCAGTATGATGCTTAAATAAAATCAGAACAATAATGACACTCACAAGATAATCAAAATAACTAACCTATTTGTTTCTGTCGAGGAACCCAAGACAAGAGTTCTAGTTGAGAAATAAAAGAAGGAAAATAGTGAAAATAGCATAAGATGTGCATGTTCGTACTTACAGGTGTCAAATAAGGGGATGCAAGCCAGCGAAGTTGAAGCTAAGCTAGAAATTTAGTTAATTTAAGCACAGAAGCTCAACGGAGCTACACGAACCTAACAGGGTTCAACCTCTGGCGTGGGTTTAGTACAATAAAGATCTAAACGAACACAGAAGCGCGAACATGCAATTTAATTGAACAAAAGAAAATGAAAACACATCCGCACAAACTCAAATTAAGTTGAGGAAAAGTAAAATTAGCCGAGGGTAGTAACACGGTCACTGTTAAACACGAGGTTTAGCCTTTAGGCTAATAACACGGTTTAAACACGAGGTCCGCACAGAGGCAAGATCAAGGGAACAATTATTACGATCGCGCTAATATGAGCGTCGACTTCGCCTCCTAACACGAGACTAACGATAAGCGTATAAACAATTATGACGTAATTAGATAATACATTTTAACAATTTCGAACTATTCGTCGGTAAATGTAAAAATTTTCGACGACGACAATTTCGTCGTCGAACAATTCGTCGAAAATTTTATCTCTGTTATGTCATCCGGTAAAAATATTTAACTTATAATCATAACTTCTTCCAGCATGTTAGTCAAATAAATTATTTTAGATTGTGTATTTTGTTTAAAAAAATACCGAGGGCTGCCTCTATTGGTGAGCTTAACTACTAAGTCAGCTTAATTGTTGTTACACTTGGATAATATGCATTTAAAAAATTACTTTTAAAAGACATCACTCCTAAAAAAACACAAAAGGCCAGTGTCGCCGATGTTACACATGCAGAATGAATTTTTTTATAAAAAATAAAAAAATTATTTTTAAACAATTCTATCTTATATATATAGCAATTTTTAAATTATTTATTCTGTCAATTGATTCATGCATTATCTTCGACTTCACGCAAGTGTGCAAATTTTCAGATCAGAAGAGAAGAAAGAGAAGTGTTGTAATAAATAACATTCATAAGATAATCTCAAGCGCTATCCAATGTTGGTGCGATGAAATCAAAACATTGATTGATCAATAAATTGATTAATGATCATGGCTCATTAATCAATTGATCATTAATCAATCAATTTAATGATCCTTGATCAATAAATTGATTGATCATTAATCAATAAATTTAATGATCATTGATCATTAATCAATTGATCATTAATCAATCAATTTAATGATCATTGATCATTAATCAATTGATCATTAATCAATCAATTTAATGATCATTGATCATTGAAGGTGATGTTCCGATCACGGCCATCAAAGCACACGGGAGTGTAGGAACGGTAGGCATCAATTCCATTGGATATTACGACGCAATAAGATTATTAATACGTGAAACACTATAACCTAAATTCTCCATCGGCTCTGGTCACCGAAACCAAGTATATAACGACCTGACCAATTATATATAACAGAACGAGTAAACATGCCAGCATGTCCTGCCATCATCGAATCATTAAACGCGTTGACTCCGATTGCTTCATCTTGTATTATTATTTTATTTTCCTAAGCATTCTACTACCGGAATAATATGTATAGTGTGATAATAAATCCGAACTAGTACGGTAAAATCTATTGAAAAAAGTGCCGAAATAATTGAATTGGGACATGATTATGATTATTGTATGTAATGATTAATGTATGTATGTAATGATTGATTAATGATTAATGTACCACTACGTCCTGGAGAAATACACTTCGTGGTACGCGTATATGTACCACTTCGGAGTCAACGTGTTAACCGTTATCGGCACCGACAGTCCAAATTCTAACGATGACCAGACTATCAATTAAATGGTGGTCTCATCTTCCTGTTCGGCTCGTGGTTCACGTGATAAACATTCTTGCGACGAGTGTAGTCTGTGTCATGTGACGCGACTGTACGTCTTGGTGTCAAATCTAAGAAGGAACCGGGCATGGGATGCAGTTTTACAAAACATTTAATATATACATTGACGCACGGTTTATATATTATTATTTCGAATTATACCCAATGGAATATATAAAAAATGTCAATAAAATATGTTCGAAAATGATTGCTCGTAAACATATGTATAAAATATTAATGCCTCAAAGTAAGGAAGCAATTCATGACTAGATTAATGAAAGTTGATTGCCTCGTTTTCTATCTTCATGTATTTTTCATGTAAAGTGCTGCTACCGGCTGCTCGCTATACCAGCAAGCGCCCATCATTCTAGTTAAAAACGACTAAGCACGAAAGAGATTACTCTCAATGTTTGATTTTAATTGCTTTTCTGCACATCGTTACAGTGCTCGTTGCTGTCGAAGAATGGCTCCAATGATTATTTAATCTCTTTTCTTCACAGCGTAACAGTGCTCGCTGCTGTCGGAGAATGGCTTCAATGATTATTTAATCTCTTTTCTTTACAGCGTAACAGTGCTCGCTGCTGTCGGAGAATGGCTTCAATGATTATTTAATCTCTTTTCTTTACAGCGTAACAGTGCTCGTTGCTGTCGAAGAATGGCTTCAATGATTATTTAATCTCTTTTCTTCACAGCGTAACAGTGCTCGTTGCTGTCGAAGAAATGCTCCAAGTCTGCTCGCTGGTCGGTCTTGTTGTTGTAGTTGAGAGCCTCGCAAAGTCTGCACATGTGGTACACGGGAGACTGGAAGAACCCGTGTTCGTTGAGTACCCGGTACCGTCTCCTCCAGTAGTGGTACTTCTGGTACTCGGCAGGATGGTCTAAGAGGTACCTGAAATGAAAACACAAAGTGTAGCAACCATCGGATATGAGGGGTGAAGCGAAAGTCAAACAGGAATACGTCCTAACAAGATGTCAGACAGTTTTATACCAACTAACGATGGTATGACGGAGGGGTTTTATTGCGTGTTTGGTTCAGCATTAAAACGCGTCGTTTTTATATTGAAATGCATTGCTGAACTTGGCGAGCCACTAATATACCGATTGCGCACTGGCATGGCCCTGCGAATGCAAAACCAACAACCTCGCTGAAGCTCACCTTCGCTCAAAGAAAAAACTCCACAGCTGGCCTCTCATTATTAATTCAAGATGAGTTTTAGCATTGGAAACTAATTATAGAGAAGCAAATACAGTTATCGTCAGGCCGAGAGTTAAATTTTTTCTAACTAGCACGTTGCAAAAAAATCAAAATATTTAGAGACTCAATAACAATGTTATTGTTGAGCAGTATTTTGAAATAATTGTTCCCCCATAGTTATATTGCTTATCAACAGACGGGCGTTCTCCGCTTTTCAATTCTACGCCTAGTATATTTATCTCTAATCACACACAAAGAACACACCGAACGGAGTACCCCAAGGATCAGTCCTCTCACAAACACTTTTCAACCTTTACATGCATGACATTCCAGCCCCACCAGACAACATTCACATTTCGTCTTACGCAGACGATACACACGCATCTAACCCGGAACGCACTCTCGAATCCACAAATCAACAATACCATTGTTGATTGGTAGATTCCATTTTTTTCCAGTCGAAATTTTAACCCAATATTGAAAATTTAACAAATTCCGTAAGAAAAGACTGTGCAGCTCTCTAAAATACTACTTTCTTGTTAGATTTTCGGCGAATCATGAAAATGTCTTAGTCATGTCTATAACTTAAACATTATAATGTATTTTTATATCTTTCCTTCACCTTGTTTCCAACTAAACTGATAGATTTGACTAGAAAATAATCTGTAACGTCTGATAATAACTGCAGATGCGTTTTATTACTGAATAAATGTAGGTAAGCTTTTTCATGGTTAATTCGTACGATTTGTCTTAAAAGCAGTCGTAATACATTTGATGGTAAACTAAACTAACTCTACACTCTGCTTATGGAGATAAACGGATCAATTTAAGTTAGCGGTTCAACGTAATATCCTGAAGCGAGCCTTCATCAAATCCTGTGCTGGTATCAGGACAGTCTTGCATTTAGGCCATAAGTTCACGACTAACGACTGTCATCCTGAAAAAAAACGCTAAGCACGACTTCAGATGGAGCTGTCCGTGTAAATCGTTCAATATTTACAAATGAAAAGTATTATAACTAAATATAACTTTCACATGAGGAAGAATAACTTTAACTAAAAATTCACTCACTGTAGGTGTTGTGCCAGATGTTCGGGGCCTTTGAAGTCATCGACGTGAATAAAAGAGTTCGGGGGCAGCAGCTTCTGATAATTGTGTTTAGGCGCCCCCATCACCACAGGTACAGCAGACTTGTTCAATGCGTTCCACCACACCTGCCCTCAATTAAAACATCAATTAACTCTTTGAGCCATTCATGTAGTAAACCATTAGATCGCAACGTTGAGTTCAACCTGAATGGGGAAACAAATCGATGAAACGAAACAGATGTGGGCAAAAGATCATAAAAAGAAAGCCTGCAAAATAACATTGAACACTCAATGTACAGTGCGGAATTTTCTTTGTCGTGTCATATCGTGTACTGCCGTGCCACATTTCACACCCACTGAAATGAGTGAGACATTGTCCAAAAAGCTACGCATCCTTTGCCTATGTGTGGGTCATCCTGGCCTATTTTGACCATGCAAGTGTGCCATTCAGTGCTGAAAAAACGTGACACTATTTGTTCAACATGTCCCATTCATTGCTTTGAGTGATGCATTAAGTCAAGATATACCAGTAGAATCACTTAAAATTTCAAAAAAACTCACCTTCTCTGTAACGTAGTCGTCGCAGTTTGAGTTTTCGAACGCCAAGTAGAACTTATAGTCGTCCAACTTGTCGCAGTTTGTGTAAAAATGTCCCTCGCATTTGAGCGGCCCGCACCCGCCGTACACGTCAATCTCGATATGTTTCTGCAATTCGGTCAAGTACGTGTACCGTTCGTTGCTGCCTCCGCAATTAGAGCCCATCAAGGATATATTTTTCTGCTTCAATTTATAATAATCATCGATTGTATATATGTACTCATCTTTAGGCAGGGGAACAGTTCGTCCGTATGGTGTTGGCACACTTGAGTCCATTCGGTAGGTCATCGACCAGTTGAAAAACCCGTTGAAATGGCTGAGGTTGCGGTCACTCGACACCATCATTACGTGGTAGGGACTTTCGTCAGCCAACCACGCCCAGAGCTGTCCAGGGGTTCTTGGTACGTCAACTGGGGGACCCGGGATAAGGTGCATGTGGAACAGCACGATGTCGGCCGCCATGATGTCACCATCTGGTGATGTTACTTTGCAGTTATTCACAGAACAATCTTCAAATGGATCAAATTTTTTAGAAGAGCCTACTTTGAAAAATCGTTCATCAAGTTCACCGGAAAATTCTTTATGATTCCAGATATGGATCGTGAAATTTCTATCTTGTTTAGTGCCAATGTTTTCGTTCAAGAACATGCGCCGACCGAGTACTGACAAACGACTGATCTCCGCTGGAGTAAGGTTCCTCCAGTTGTAGTCAGGGTCATTTTTTTCTGTGTCAGCATCCACATCCAATTTTGTTATAGGATTAATCTTGAGTTCAGGCTTACCTAGATCATCGATCTCCCTGGTCTCATTTTCGGCATCATCGGGAGCTTTCTCCAGGTACAGTAAATTAGGTTCTGATCTATACCTAAATGTTGGATAATCTCCAGCCACTAAAAACACGAGCCAAATGAGAAGTGCAGCCGCCCCTATTAGAGCAACGAGATGCTTGCCGCTATATGGACGCCGCAGAAGTCCAAATACTGACTCTTTCGTCTTGCGAAGCATCACGTACATCGTGGCGGAAGACGTCCATAAGCGTACCAAATTGAGCTTGTTTCTAGTACAGTGGGTTTCTACGTGGGTGCGGCAAATTTTAACGCAATGGCGTTGTTATAGAAAATACAGTAAAATTTAAATGTACTTTAAATTGATTTTCCTACATTTTCCAAATAATTCTACATTTTCCAAAACCATTTTAGTGCTTGAATTCATCGTCTGAGATTCGTCAAGAACTATAAAATCTAGGTTTAATTCTTTCTCATTTACTTTTACAATATTGAACACCTGAGAACACCAGTCCTTCCTTCAGGCATCTAGGAATTTGTCACTCAAAAATATTCTTTGAAAGAAAAATCGTTTATTTTTCACGAGTTAATCAGTGATTTCCATGTCAACTAACACTTGAAATTAGACGCAGGTATCGAAGATAAGGCCTCACAATTTGAATTCCCGGCTATTTTCAATATTCTGCACTATTTCATACCAGCATTTGAGTAGCTGCATATCAATATTCAAACCTAAAAAATAACACTGGAAATCATTCGTTTTTTAGTTGATGCGAACACAACACAATTCTTTACACAACCATCCCCGGTAACAGCTGAATGCTTAGTGGCTGAATAGGTTTAAGATGAGTAAGCTTAACGGCAGATGCGAGGCCACCACTGAGCCGTACACCCAGGACCATCTGGGCCCCATGTTGACAGTGTATTAAAGCGCATCCGCTGGGGACTTGAAAACCGAACTTTAGACCTGCAAGCAAATCTTGGTGAACAACGAGAATGTAAATCAAACAATCGGCACTGATATTCCATATTAATAACGCTTCCCCGAAACTGAACTGAAAAAAATCAGTATAGAACGGCCGCATTACGACCATTTACTACCTAAACCAGAAGAGGGCAGCTATAAGGCAGATAAACATGTCCTCCATTCAATCGTGCCGGATAACCACAGGAGCACCATAATAACTGACCTAATCTAACTCTTGTTATCCTAAAAAAACTAGGAGGTCAAGGATTCTATTCACGAAAAATAATCCTTGTAAAAAATTGGGACCACTACAAGAAACAAATGTTCTTTACAAATTTTCACAACAATGATTTGAGCCGTCGATGTAGCGGGACAAATTAATTAATTACAACTACTACACTCATAATTCATCAAGTTTTTTTGGGCCCCACTATATACGAAGGATGGCAAACAGTTATTAACAATATTGTAAAAGGCACAAAATATTTCTTATTACTCGATATATTGCATGAAGTAACCTTACATGGAGTTGAGGATAAATTCGTAAAAATGAACCCAAATAATAACCGTCCAAGAAAGATAAGGTTTCGAACTGCAGGTAAGGCACAGACGTCAGTCCAGTTTTGCAAAACATTATACATTTACATAAGATAGTATTAGATGGCAGAATAAGCTTGATTAAGCACGGGTGGTTAATGACCAGAGAATTCACTGATTTAGATTTTCAGGGCCGAACAGTCGAACAATATTCTTCAGAAGACGTTGGCTGATCAAAATGCAGGTTCAAAGATGTAATTTTAATTTATTAACGACGTCTCAAATGTAACAACAATCATTTTCAAGTTATAGAAAGAATTGAATACTGAAATTTTGGCGGAAATAATTATATAATTAATTATAAGCCAGAGGCAACAGAATTACCGTAAAAGCACCGTGCAGGCACCGAAATTTGTCTAGGTAATGTGGTTGGTAGCTCACGTCAGTATATTCAATAATTGGCGAGACGCGCACTGTTTGCTTACTGTAGTCCCATAGATGGAAAAAATTCAGGATTTGGGAGTCACTCAGACTTATGTATAGCAAAAAGTACAAATTTCCTCTCTTTAGCTGCAATTAGGTCACCGCAACAGCGTGTCACGAATACAATACGTGTATCTTTTGAACAAAACTGAAGACTACCTTACAACACTTATATTCCGAAATGGCACAAAACTATCGAAGTGACTGGTTCCACGAGATAAGATATACAGCCGAAATGATTAAATTAGAGATTGAGCAATGCATTTAAAAACAGCGCTGGATACATTTAGTAAACATGGCATCGGGCAGATACGCCAATTTAAATGTTCGATGAGTTTTGACGATACATAATAAAAACTGCAGCCAGCTTCCTGAAGTCGAAAAAACTTAGTCGACTTAGATGAGAACTCCATGTAGTCTAGTTAATGGAGTGGTATATTTCTGGTACGAAATCAATGGGAAATATACCAGTATACCAGAAAGCTGTGTGACCCTTAAAAAACACTGACAGGTTGATATAACTCAAAGAATAATAAACATAGCGGTTAGAAATTCAAACTTTAGAGTTAGAGAAGGTCAGGTTAAGTTCGGTCAAGTTCCTTTATGTTCTAATATCAAAAAAAGAACCTGGCCGTCTAGGCCCAACCCTAGATTGTAAAAGCATAGAAATGAAACTTATTTAAAACATCAGTCGAAAGTGCGTTTAAAAATAAATTAACCTCGCTTATCATGAGGAGGGAATTTTGTATGAACCTCACGAGACCCATGTGCAACCGTTTCAATTGAGGAAGGAACCAAACCCCAGCAACACTCTCAGAGTCCACGTTGCCAGGCTCGACGGTGCCCCGAGATCCTCTTGCCAGCGTCGAGAGATCGGCCGGGTAGGCGAGACCCAGGGCCGAGCACAGCGCCGCGGTGGTGAACAACACGACTGTGCGCATCTGCAAGATGAAGCTGCTATTTGTAACTTTTTAATGCATGGGAATATTTCTATAGAGTGGGAAGGATACAGCACGTACTTCCTTCTTCAGCACGCACATTATTTTAGCGCGGGTTCCCACTATGATGTTCCGCTGCTGCGTATTCTGACACCAGTGTCCCAACGCAATATGTTACGCAGTTTCGATAAAACACGTATAACTAGAAATTTCGTTGGTAAAGCTTTTCCTTTAGAATATTTGTGTTCACACGAAAGGTTGACTTTTAAATGCTGGTGCCACACTAAAGCTGGTACCACTCATCTGTACGAGATTATGCTGCTCATGGAGCTTGACGACCAACCTGCATTCTTGGAGCGATAGGCAGCGTCCCTGAGACTGGACACTTTGGGGAGACACTTTGACTTCGATTCGCTCAGTGAAGATTTCAGAAGTCAATTTACTGAACCGATTAACTTGGTTCATTTCTGTGAGATGCAGAAGCACCCCGCGGTTTCCTCGCGGGAGACGCCCGGGGATGTGGAGAATGTCAAGCTCAGTTTTTACAAATAATTGGTCAAGTCGAAATTAACAGAGACTAACTACACATACACAGACGTCATATGGATGTCAGTCTATTTGCCGATCTAGATGCTGAAGCACTTAAGTTTCTTCGCGAAAATTCCGTCATTCCCTCAGAAGTCGAGTTGAATCCCTTTCAACGAAGGTGAGCCAATATGGTTGGCCCCGAAATAATTTTATCGATGGTACTGAAAGTACACAGGACACTGTCTGGGAGAGGATGTAAGCACTTTGAGTTTCATCACAAGTCCGTCCAGGAAATGTTCGCTGCCAATTACATCGTACATCGCCTAATAGTCTGCGCTGAGTTCCTCAACTGCATTCTGGCAGTCACATCCGAGTATATGGGGGATATAGAAAGGTAAGCATTCAAGGTAAAATTGAAGAAAAATTAATTCCCGTCATAAATAACGAAATACTCAATTATTATCACGCAATACTCGAGATCAACACCCGAGGTAAAATAAAACTATCTGTCCACACGTGATCTGTTAGATATTCGATCGTTATGTTGAATTTACCATTGCAGTGAACAACATCGATTGTGTACTGCCCAAACAACACTCACAAGCATAAATGTCAAGCAGGTATAAACGCCTGCTAGGTAGTTACATGATGAGAAATGAAATTTGTTTCACCTTCTATTAAATGCACTGTGAATTCAAATTAATTCGTGGTATATTTCAAGTAAGTTGGTTCCACTCGTGTTCTGTGTTAAGTAAAATTAAACGATTTCTGACTAACGAATTTCCTTAATCTGTTATCGAGGTTGATCGCAGGAAAACTATTTATTTTACTAGCCCTACCTAGGTAGCCAATCTGAAACAATGTCCCGATGACTGGAAATATAACTTCTTAAATATCGTACTCGTATTTTCAGAATGTTAATTTGCTCGTTTTGCTGGTGAATAATTTTGCAATTGGTTCCTTCTTCACACAAAAAGGACGTCTCTGCCCGGATGCGGTCGTCTGGGGTGTATGAATACAGTTGTGTGCGCTGTGCATCAGTGTACGTCGGAATGACGCCACGTAACATCTACATATGGGTTTCTGAGCATTACGACGTGACGGTGTCTGAGAGCGATTTCAAGATACTCGGTGGCACCTCTGATGGTTTGTATATAAGAATTTTAAAATCACTGCACTTTTTTGAACGAAAACCTTGTCTCTTAAATGAGTATTGTTCTCAACAACCTTGAAATTATAAGTCGATAGGTTTTTATGTTCCGCTGCTGATTTTTCGGCACCTGTAACGAAGGAGCAGAAGTTACGGAAGCCGGTCGACTGACCCAGGTTCTGCATGGCGACCAGGAACGTTCTGTCGCTGACGGTAGATAGACGTGTAGATAGAACGACGAGACCCGCTAAAATCGCAGTCGTCTCCTATAGACGGCAGATCCGACACACTGTGCAGACATTCCGTGAGATAAGGAAGTACCAAACCGTGAAGGCATCTGAACGTCAGAACAGCGACTTTGAACTGCGCGAGCTGCTGCATGCGCAGCCAGTGAAGATTGCGCAATACCGGCGTCACGCACTCGTGGTAGAATTTCGCTTATTGCACACGATTTGCGCAGCAGCGTTCATTACGGATTGCAGTTTATTTAGTGCCGTGGTCGGAAGTCCATAGAGTGTGGCATTACCATAGTCTAATTTGGTCAGAACGAGAGCCACCATGGGGTCTCGAAGACCGGCCTCAAGAGACAACGGCTGACGTTGCTTACTCGTCGCAGAGCGCCAAAATAAGCGATGTTGACTTTGGCAATGACACTATTCATCGCAATTTCCGATGCCAGCAGAATGCCTAGGTTAACAACCGAAGACGAAGGAATGGCGAACTCGTTGCCCACGCGAATAGGGTTTAGGGTTGGCCGGAAGTTGATGCTGGCACCGAGCAGTCGCAAACCAAATAAAGTCGGTTTTTGACGCATTAAGCTGGAGACGGTTGAAGTGCATCAAGTTGAGACGGCGCACATGCGGACAGACATCCGATCCTGCAACGCTGCAGCCTCAGCCGGTGCACACTGCACAGCCATAAATTTTGGTGTCGTCGGCGAACATATGTGGATTAAAACTATGTGAATCAATTATGTCCCACACGTCGACAGTATATAACAGTCAGGAAGATGATCGGGCCGAGGACTGATCCCTGTGATACGTCGCAGGTGACCAACGATGGTGTACAAGAAGAGTTCTCGCGGCGAACGCATTGGAATCTGTTGCCTAGATATGACTCGAGCCTATGCAGCACTGTGTCGCGCAGGCCGAATGATACGTCAAGTAGATGCTGTTAAGTAGCGTGGTCAACCGTGCCAAATGCGGCCGACAGTTTGAGTAAAGGCGGGGCGGCAGTCCAAAGTCAAAGTCAGAAGTTCCAACGTTTGTTTGTCGATTTGTACACAACACGTGCAGCACATCATGACTCCCAGCGATGGTTTTTTTTCACCCAGGTCTGTTTTTTTACCTCTCCTGGGTTTACGTCTCGGATAAATTGACGGCCGGACTCGCGGCCGGTCTCACAGCCAATTTCCAAATTCAATGATCAAGGAATATCTCTCTACTAATGAACTTATCTCAATGAAACTTGGTTCACGTATTCATTAGGACATAACGGTAATGTTTAGCTCAAGAATTTTTTTTTGAATTTTGCCTTCATTTGCTTTTGCCATAGTTATTTGGCAATACGGACCGAAATTAGCAGTGATCAAGGAATTTCTTCCAAAGTATTGAACAGATTCGAACGAAATTTTGTATTTACAGTCCTAACTACCGAACGGTAATGTTAGCTCATAGAAATTTATTCGATTGTGCCTTTGTTCGCGAGTTTATTTTTCATTCCATCTTCATTCGTGATTTAAACCGCAATGCGTGCTGGAATTCGCAGTAATCAAGAAATTTCTTCCAAAACTACTGAATAGATTTGAAAGAAACTTAGTATATAAATAACTAACCTCAGCAACGGTCATGTTTAGGTAACTACAATTTTTTCGTTTTGCCTTCGTTTGCGAGTTATTCGGCTATACGTATACGGATAAACGTAAACGGCTCTTGGTTAAACCGGCCGGTGTAAAAGCCGGTCGTTCCTCCTATATCTGTATAACTCGCGAACGAAAGCAAAATAGGAAAGTCGTCACGAGCTAAACATCAACATCACCGTTGGGAGGTAGGTATTTATATACAAAGTTTCGTTGAAACCTGTTCAGTAGTTTAGAAGAAATTTCTTGATCGCCGCGAATTTAAGCGACAAATTATCCGGCGATCCGGGCCGAATATAAGGAAGTGTGAAATCAAGAATGACGGTGAAATAAAAAAACTCGCAAACGGAGGTAAAATCGAAATTTTTTTAAAAGCTAAAAAATCACCGATTGGTAGTTAGGAATGTATATTCAAAATTTCGTTCAAATCTGTTCAGTAGTTTGGAAGAAATTCGTTGACCACTGCGAATTCTGGCGTTCATCGCAATATAACTCATGAATGAAGGTGAAATTTAAAAATTTTTACGAGCTAAAAATAACCGTTAGGTTCTGATGAATAAATGTTCCAAGTTTTATTGAGCTGCGTTCATTGGTTTGGGAGATATTACTTGATAATTGAATTTGGATATCGGTCGTGCGACCGGCCACGAGGCAGGCCGTAAATTTGCCCGAGACGTCCTTCTAGTGCTGAAACAGTTAAAACAGCCTATAAACATATTGGTTCACTAAATGGGGTTCTATTGGTGAAATACAAATTGTGTTTAACCTTTATCTTTTAAAATTGCAGCGTATTAAATTTAAAGAAAGAGGCGTATGTTTTTATAGTGTCTGTGGGGGGGGGGGGGCCTAGAAATTCCCTAGGGAGCCAAAGGGGGCGCCAGCCTGAAAAAGTTTGGGAACCACTGGNTTTATATACGGAGAACATGTAACGACATTGGAGAACGTTTTTATATACGGAGAACATGTAACGACATTGGAGAACGTTTTTATATACGGAGAACATGTAACGACATTGGAGAACGTTTTTATATACGGAGAACATGTAACGACATTGGAGAACGTTTTTATATACGGAGAACATGTAACGACATTGGAGAACGTTTTTATATACGGAGAACATGTAACGACATTGGAGAACGTTTTTATATACGGAGAACATGTAACGACATTGGAGAACGTTTTTATATACGGAGAACATGTAACGACATTGGAGAACGTTTTTATATACGGAGAACATGTAACGACATTGGAGAATGTTTTTATATACGGAGAACATGTAACGACATTGGAGAATGTTTTTATATACGGAGAACATGTAACGACATTGGAGATCGTCTTAAAAAGGAAAGCCGATGAGGTTTCAGTTCTAGTCTGCCCTCAACCAGCCTTGCATAGCTGAGTGGAAGGCAGTTACAGTATATGTTGCTGCTACGACGTCGGCACTCAGGGAGTCCTATATTCTGATGATGATTAAACTAAATAATCCAGTAGGATTAATTAGTTTAATCAGCGTGCTAAATGCTAAGATTTAGCATGCCGTTCTCGCACAATTTTGTCAATTGTGAATATATAAAGATCTTAAAAAGAAAGTCTATAATCGATTATTCAGTTTCGAAGAATTGTCTGCTCAGTGTTTTCCTTTTCTGCGAGTATCTTGAATTATCGATCACAGAACTTCGTTTTTAACGAACACTGTTATCATGTTAACATAAGACGAGATACTAAATTCAATCTCATATTTCGCTCGAAATTTTTACACACAACCGTCTTAAGCAGATAAAAAGTTACTGTGCAAGTTATGTATGTATTCACTGGTTATGTGTCGGCTGCCTGGAACATAAGCCAGTTCACGGTAAACTTCTCATTTTTAGTTCAACGGCGATTAGACAGACGCTTCAAATGATTTTTTTTATTTTCCTAATTCTGGACTGTCGATGGTTCTCAGAGCTCAATGATTTCAAATAATAAAGATATTTACACAGACAAAAATGTTTGCCTTTGTTTGCAGTAATCAAAAAAGATGCAAGCATGCAATACATAACAATTATCGTGGCAACGAAAATTCAGGAATGCTCCATCGCGTGGAAATAATATATTTTAAATTTTCGGAGAAAATTTCAAGTAATTTAAGACATTCCTCGACAATTTCATGTTGATATAGCCTAAACGCTAATATCGACGAAACGCGAGTCAGGAGTCTCAGGTGCGTGACAGATATTTGTTTTTATTTGTTGTTAGTCACCGACAGCCGACACGAACTCCATGGAAATCCCAATCCTCCCTAAAAAAATGATCGTGTTACAGAAGATGAGGAACCATATATAATTACCGACTACATAGCTTATGTTTTCACACCGAAACACCACGCCACGTTCCCAAAGTGGCAGAGCGACGACTGAACAACACTCAATACGACGAAGGCAACTTCGCTACTACATAACGAGCTTCATAGTTAGGCTGGGAGCGCAGCCGTGCACCACCAATTTGGTGCACCAATAAGCCCTGAAAAGAACGCCTTGGATATCTCCGGACATCCACCAATAAGCCGTGGACTACTCGGCTTTGTCTTCCTCCGGCCTCGCATAGAACCTTCCGTGCACCACCAGGCCGCGGATCGAATATGACTTCCAGGCATCGTTAAATTACGTAATTTTACGTTCACCGCATCTGAGGTTAGGTTTCAGATAGCATAGTTCTGTTCCAAAGTTTTTCGTCCTTCGACAAGTGGCCGTTCAACCAAGGGCTGGTTCGACCCACGGCCTAGATACGGACGGCTTGAAGTGTTGAAGGCTACGTTCCGGAAGGCAGAAATCATGATGGTCCATTACATCCAGGGCAGTGGTGGTCTTCGGCAGGCGACCCGTTAGGCTTATGTTGGGTACGAAAAGTACGCCGCTGTCCTAATCATTTAAGCAGTTCTTAATTATCGGTAAATTTTTTAGGGTAAGCAAATTTGTAAATATTTTATTGTCAGTTAATACGTATATTTGGAGCAATGAAACGGTGAGGAAGAGTAATGACAAAAGACTAGTTGGCAGGCGCTCAGTTCCGATCGCAACAACATTGCCTGTAACCTCTCCTGGTTGGCCGGCCTCCTACACAACGCAAATCGATCCACCAAAAGAAACTAAACAAATCGATCTCTACTTTTATTTCGTGCTGGTCGTTATGAGAATCTCTCATTAAACGTTAAAAAATTATATTATGCCAAATATTCTATGTGCAACATGATGCACAATATGAGGAACTGGAAATCTGGTTAAGGAAAAATATTACTTTGGGTCTAATACTGCCAAGTGAGACAAGAAATAACTTTAAATATTCTATACTTGCCACTGCACGAAATTGAATTTTAAATGTAATTTTCGTCACATTTTTAACACGTGACAAACTTCGAGAAAATTGGGAGCTGGGAATGTTACGACACAATTAAACGAGAATGTTTTAATAAAACTCTTTATTAGGCAATACAAAACCATGGCTTACACACTAAAACTATGCGCCTTCCAAACGAAATGAACAGCTTGTCTTCACATTAGCTTCACTTCACACTTCACTTGTCTGAAACTGAAAACTTCACTTGTCTGAAAATACTGAAACTGTCACACTGAAAACTTCACTTCACTTGTCTTCAACAGCTTCACTTCACATTAAAAACATAACTCCGTTTACAAGAAAATAAATCAATTTGGTGGATGGCAGACACTGAAAATCCGGAAAATATAATTCCACGCTTTCAGTCAAAAGTTTTCAGACGATGAAAAAATAATAATAAACTACTTCGAAAGAATGAATAAGATCGTTGTTGATGTTGAAGATCGTTGATGCTGAATGTTGAAGTACGTTCGTATTGATGTTGAAGTACTTCGGCTTCGGAAAACATCTTCGTCAGGGTTAGTCCTGAATCTTCTGAATCTCTTCTTTAAGGTAATTCACCGCATCGAGAAACTGAGAACTGCAACAAAAAAATATCACGGAAGACGTTAATCACAATTATTTAAACAAACAGCATGGCAAGATTCAAACTTTGTTGGTCAAGTCAGCTGAATTATCTAATTGTTAAATAATTACGTGTTTGCACACAGAAAAGCGTAGGTCCATTTACCGTTGCAGCAAATATCAAAGGTACTCAATATAGCCGAGGTTCAACTAATGTACCCACAAGCTGGATACCTCGTATATGCTTGGTCGCGATATATACTAGCATATACTCGGTATACACGTGATGGAAGAGGGATAAACCCACATGGCGTATACTAAATAAAGTAAAAGCAGGAACACAAGCTAAGAACTCATTCGCGCTCCAGCAGTTTCAGGCAGTAAAATTTAGTAAAAAACGTAGATTCAACCTAAGATGCCTCGCAGGCTGCAGTAATTTACCTGGGCTCGCCTCCATGCTTGATGGAGTCAAGCAAGGCAAACTTGGCTGTGATGCGGTCAAACATGGCGAACAAGGAGTCAAGTCTGTTGACATCCTGCATATTGGGGTCTAGCGAGGTGATGACATCCTGCTTTGCTGAGTGAAGCGTGGTGATGACATCCTGCATTGCGGAGTTGATGACCATGGAGAAAACCTCGTCAAACGCCTGCTTGAGAAGGTCAACCGTAGCGTTGACGACGGGCTTGAGGGAGTCCGTAGCGTTGACGTCCTGCTTGCAGGAGTCAAGATCAGCCCTTAGGGCGTTAATTCCCTCCTTCCTGGAGTCAAGCTTAGCCATAATGTTGTTTATGTCCTGCTTGTGGGCGTCAAGCCTAGCCTGCAAGGCGCTAATGGTCTGCATGTTGCTGGAGTGAAGCAAATCACGCAGGGGCAGCAGTTGGTCGCGACTCGAGCTACCCACTTGACCAAGCGATGGCGGCAGCTTGGTGGCGGTGGCGGCTGGTACCACCGCCATCTCCAGATGGCATAGCCGCCGGAAGCTGTTGTGCTCCACCATCTGCATCATCACGCCACCTGCCGGCATCACCACACCACCGGCATCACCACACCACCGGCATCACCACACCACCGGCATCACCACACCACCGGCATCACCACACCACCGGCATCACCACAAGCTTCAACTTTATATCATTTCCTAATTTTTTATTTTCATGTCAAAATATATATCAATAAATATTAAAGCAACATTTCATATATATTTTATTTAGAAATGTTGTTCACAAACTAAAAGTTTATAAATGCTAATAATAATTATTTCAAGTTTAGAAACGTCAATAATAATTATTTTCAATTTATAAATGCCAATTTAATAAATTAATTAATAAATTTGATTTAAATTTTAATAATTTTATTAAATTAATTTGTTCAATAATAATTATTTAAAGTTCATAAATGCCAATTTAAATAATTCATCAATTTCAATTCATTTTTATCTAGATTTCATTAAATTTATCTATTTAATTAACTTTACTTAAAGTTCATAAGTACCTACCAATAACTTATAAATGTTTATTAAACTTATAAACTTATTGACATTTATAAGTTAATAAATGTCAATAATACTTATTTAAAGTTTATAAATGCTAATAATAATTATTTGGAATTTATAAAATATTAATATTCAACACTGCACCCACCAGGCTGCGGGGGGTGCCCCGCTGTCTCCCCCAGCAGCCCCGGCACCGCCCCACACCCACTCAGCACTAAACCCATCCTGCGGGAGAATGCCTATATATTCTAATATTCTATTCCATTATCAAAATAATTAAATATTCACATGTGCAAACAAAAATCTATTCAATTATCAAAACAATTAAATATTCATATTCAATAATTATAATAATAATAATTATAATTTGATATTTATTTTAGTATCCCCAACATATTGTACATGTAATTTCCTAACAAAAATCTATTCAAGCACTCAAAGAACTACCTGGGTTGCAGTTGTCCATGTTGCTGCTGCTGACACGACTGCAGCAGTTGGATGAGATGCTGCTGGAATGACTGGAAATCAACAAGCAGGCCCTGCACGACAATCATCGTTACCATTGTAACCATCATAACTATTATATCAACAAGCAGGCCCTGCACGACAATCATCGTTACCATTGTAACAATCATAACTATTATATCAACAAGCAGGCCCTGCATGATAATCATCGTTACCATTGTAACCATCATAACTATTATTACATCAGTGCTCTCAAGAAAATATAGACAAGGTAATGTGATGATCAAGATGAAATAGAGCTCAGATATTTTAACACCTTTGATGTAGCACCTCAATTTAAAAGTGTATGCTATATCAGTTTTGCAGAATTTGTTCCTTCAAGCAGGTTTAGCATTGTTAATGAATTAAAAATGTCCATCTGTACCCAATTTTCTATTTACTGATGCTAAGAAGAAATGTTCAATATATTCAATATATCTCTAGGTGTATAAAAAATATTTTTAGCAATGTTTTGGACCAAAAAATCTCTTTGATGTTGATGCTGTGGAATTTCATGTCTATTTCAATATGGTTTCTATTTCTATTATGCATGCCACATTTCATTTCCATTTCACACATCATTTCTATTTCAAATGTAGCCAAGTTATTTGCATATAATATTGCTGATAAACATTGTTTGCATCAATAATCAATAATAATAAATAATAATAAATATCATTTTCGGAAATATTACAATGATTGTTACCATTGTAACCATCATAACTATTATTACATCAGTGCTCTTAAGAAAATATAGCCAAGGTCTTTATAAATATCATTTTTGGAAATGCATTACAATGATTGCTGGGGATGGCAAAGTCAGTTTTCTCCCATCTTTTCTTCAGTGTTTATACTCTAATTATAATTTAAGTTAGTAGGTATTATTAATAATGTTTAGCTCATGGTAAATATTTGTTTATATTTTTGTGCAGGTTGTTTCTTTTAATGAGAACATGAGAAGTCGAGAGAAAATATTTCTTATAGTTGCATTTTTGTGATTAACACGCATTAAATATTCATTAGATTTGAAGCTAAATTGAAATAAAATACATACTACAAATTAAAATATATTTTTCACATATGTGAAAAATATCACCTGCCCTACAGGCCAACACAAAGCCAAGATTAACAAAATCTACAGATTGAATAAAATAAAAAGCCAAAATGTACAGAGATTGTATAGAATGTGAAGCTAAAATATCAGCGATTGCATATACAGAAATTGCATAGAATACAAAACCAAAATATACAGAGATTCTATAGAATACCTACTAAGCCAAAATATACAGATATTGTATAGAATACAAAGCAAAAATATACAAAACATATAGAGATTGTATAGAATTCAAACTATACAACCTGGGCTGCCTTGAGGCTTGGGTAGTCTGCAGCGGAGACGCAGGACGTGAGCAGCACCTGCGGGTCGTCTGCGTCCGTGATCCACACACACAGAGTCTGCGGCAACACAGAACACATACAGAAATATTAGTGGGTCAAGTTGTCCCAATAGTGATACATGTTTTTACCTGCACAAAAGTTATTCTATTAACTATTAATTGTTTTATTCCAATCAACCACTAATTAATTTAATATAAAATGATGTAAAGTGCATCAAAATGATATTAAAATTCCTATGTGGAAGTGAATATTCCTGAATAATTTAAATATATTTAAATTCAAGTAAATTTAAATATATTTAAGATGTGGCATTTGATATTTTTAGCACACTTAATATTACTTTAATATTTTTAGCAATTTTTTACAGTTAATCAGGTGAGAACTATTCAAAATAACTATGATATCAAATTTAAATTTAAAAATTAAGTAATGTATTCTATAGATTTGTATTAAAGTCAATTTGAATTTGAAAAAAAGTTTTATTACATATACGGCAGGATGATGAGGGGAATGAGGGTGATGGTGAGGCTGAGGATGACATGATAATAGTGAACAGTGCACCTGAGGCAGGTTAGGCTAGATGGTGAAGGTGATGGTGAGGCTGAGGATGACATAATAATAGTGAACAGTGCACCTGAGGCAAGTTAGGCTTGATGTTAAGAGTGATAGTGAACGTCAGTTTCCTGTTCTGCGCCACTGAGGCGCCCGCATCAACCTGCCCTGGCAGGAGCTGCACCTCGAGGTCAAGGCAACATAGCTCGGTGACGGAGCTTGCCATTTCTATTTCTGTATAAAAATGCATTTCATAATTTTTTACAATGAATTTCAATAATTTTCTACAAATAAACAATAATAAATAACAATTTTCTATAAATATGCATGAATGAACATCTGCATAGCGGCAGAGACTTTTTTGTTTTTTTTTTGTCCTATTGATATAGGTATAGGACATAAAATGGATATATAAATGCATAGTCACAAATAGATAACTAATAGAATCTTGAAGTAGATCAGGAATTCCAATTGTTTTTCAATTGTTAACACAAATGCATGATCAAGCTGCTGCAAGATTTCAAAATTATTGAAAATATGTCAGTTAGGCACTATCAAGTCTTCAGAATATCTATATAGAAATATTGCAATCTCATGCTAACTGCTAAGTGATACTTAGAGAAAAAATTTTTTAAAAGATATTTTTTTGCCAAACAATTTGGCTGAATCCACAGTTATTCCATCCATGAATCAGACAAAAAAAAACATGAATTTGTCCAACTCGGAAAATTACTATGCCATTTTCTGTCTTTTTCAGTAAGAAAGGAGAAAAAATATAACTCAGTACTCATGGCAGTGAGTGACAGTGAGCGCATTTTCTCGTGCATAAATCAGTTTTCATTGCAATTAGTACGTACAGTGCATTAGAGCTAGAGATGTTGTATTTCTGATACAGGCATGCCGCTTCTTAAAATTGACAAAAACGTGAAGTCACGGACGGACAGATGGACAGACAGACAGACGGACATGGTGAGCACAATAGTGCATTTTTTCTATAAAGAGAAAATGCACCAAAAATGCTGGTTTTCACCTGCAATTTTCAAAAATCACCTGTAAAACTATATTTTTTAGAAAATTTTACAGATAAAAAACATGGTTTTAATCCAGAATTTTAGGTAAAAACAATTTAACCTACAAATCATCAATATCAGGTAATTTTTAAAAAATCAACCTTGGAAAATATATGCAATTTTCCTATTTTTCACATAAGAAATAGGAACATAGTCATAGAATCGGGTTAAATTATCCTTCATCACAGGCATTTTGGTCTCATTCACAAGCATGAAGCAGCTGCTGAGTAATGGCCTAACAGGCCTATTTCAGGGAATTCCAGCCTGGAATTTGCATCATTGCATTTGCATCACTGCATCAGCAGTTTATTTCATAATTTTTTATTTACTTTTACTCAACTTTTATTTTTGATTTTCATGATTGAAAATAGCCTAGGTAAGAAACATGGGAAATTTAAATGAAATTATTAATTATTGGATTGAAACAATATTATGGCTTTAGAGCCTACAATTCATATTATATAGCCCATTTTTTTAATTCTCTGGCACAGCATTGCCAGATGATTGCCATTACTATTCATTAGATTGATGCACAAAACGATTTGAATTTTTTTTTCACTTGGCTATAAATTTATTATCCAAGTCATTCCGTTACATATTATTTTATTGGAGGCCACCAACCTGATTTAGGCTTAGCTAATTAGCTTATTAGTAATATGCTAACTTCAGGAGCATAAACTATATTTCATTATTTGTGTAGGGTCGAAAAATTCAGGAAATTCTCGTCCAACTCTCTTGACTAGGTGGTATATCACTTACCTATCACTTTATCAGTATATAGGTAGTAGAACTGTAGAGAGTTAGGCTACGTCGTATCACTTGTATGCGAATTTGCACCTTGCCGATTCAATTCATGACATTCGTGTTTAAACCAGCGCGGCACTGCGGCGTTAGGCATCGACTCCGTTTTCCTTTAGAACTGAAAACAGTGGACTTGATGTCTTATTACTTAAGGATTGTATTTATTTAAAAACTTAAAACTTTCTTTACCATTAGAAACTGAACACAACATTTTAATCAATAGAATTTATCAGCGGACTGAAATACGGACAAGAAATGAATAGTGAACCGATGAATGAATAGTGAACCGATGAATGAATAGTGAACCGATGTGAATGAATAGTGAACCGCCAAGTTAATTTCTGAGCTGCGCTCGCGACTCGTGCCATATATTAAAAAAGCTTAAATGACTACAAGCTTTAAAGTTAATGAGAAATAGATATAATGTATTTAAAAGTTAATGAGAAATATCAAAATAGGTAGATGCTGAGATCACTAGAGTGACTAGAATCGAGCTTATAACACGGCCACCGATGAAGACACGGAAATACTGACAGATTTAATCATTTGCTTCTGAACTATGGATATAAAAATATAGCCAAGCGTAAAGTTCATGAATTTCAAAAAAAAGTTTACTGATATTTTGCAAAAAATTTGAATATCCACACAGGAATTAATATCTTCCATTAAATATATTTGTGAATTGCTTATAAATTATAAACAACATTAATAGAAAACTTTCGAATTAATTTTAAAATTAAAAACTGTTAATAAAACTGGTGAATTTTATACATTAGATGAAATACATATACGTCACAGTTCTAAAGTAAATTTTGCTTCAAAGAAGGTTATAGACTTCTTCATTATTTTGACTGCATTGGAGACGAAAACAGACTAGACGAAGCTATGCAGGAGCATATGTTCAGTCTTAAAATGCCTAGCAAATTACGGAGCAGGCAATAAGTCCCGCAGCTATCTCAATCAATCGTCAGTTATGGAAAGATCGGGTTCCAAAGGCCGGATCCCTTGTGAATCAAGTCACGAAAAGTTCAAGAATCGGCAACAGGCCATGGGCCTATGTCTTCAACGCCGACACTTCTATTCTGGAGTAATTGGAGTAACAACTACGACATTGAGCAGCCGTTTATCCTGCCACCTGAGACAAGTTCGCAACCAGACCAGGGCCTATACTTTCAAAAAAAGTTAAGAGATCGTAAGTCCATCAGCCAATCACTGACGGCCACGTAAGCAAAATCCACCAATCATAGACAAGAAAATAGAGCGTAAGTACTTACGTTCACTTAGCGAGTTATGAAAGTTTGGCCCCAGGCCTCTAAGCATCACAGTCGAGCAACTTCATCTTTAGGCTTGTAGTCAGAATGCAGCAAAGTCTGAGAGCGAGGTTTTCGCGACCATCGTGTGAAATTCTTGATTTGCACGAAGCTCGGCCAGTCGCTACCCTCGAGCTTGCACTCTTTGTAATATGATATCCTATTGTCAGCCAATTTCTTGCGGCAACTGGTCGCTTTCAGGTGGCCGAGGAATGGCCAGCGGTCGGCTATAACTAATTGGACTAGGCCGACCACTGGCCACGTATTATTCCTCGCCCTTCATCGAGTTCGCCTTCACCACGCCGCCCGTCGTGAACTGACGGTTCAGTAATTTACGACGTCTCTTTCCCCTCATGTATTCCACAACGCCTGTATTTGAGCAGTTAGTATGCGGTATTTCCCCTCCGCGTATCAGCAGGCTCGATCACAACTACTTTTTGGTAGAAAATATCTACAACAAGGAGGCTGATCATGGAATGCCGAGTATACCATTCAATGGAGAATTAAAGTTACAACCCGTTTACATCTCGAAAAAAGTGAAAAAGTCGCAGACTTGGTGAACAATAATATTCAAAGTTTCTTTAAAATTCCTTTCATTATAACATTTTTAAAACAAATTTTACATATTTTTTGTTCCTGGCCACCGTTTATAAATAAATAACTGGGTAAACATGGAAAAATCCATATCGCCATCTCATTTAAGAGTGCAGTAAAGTTCAGCCTAATTTGTGAAGAAACTCGTAGGGAAGAGCCGAGCCTGTTCGAGGCCTTGCGGTTCTCTATCAGAGCCTTAAGATCCGCGATGAAATCAATAAGCCCCGTGACACTCTCGACAACGTCCTCGTGACACTCGATCTCAACGAGACTGTTACTTGCACTGTGTTGGAGGAACCCACCAGCATAGTCATCCTGCGGTGGCCCGACATAATCCGACCGACGATAGCTGTAGCTCTACGGATTGGACTCCATCTATCCATCTCATAACTACCTGATTTTCTAAGCTTTGAGATTGTTTTGGAATTATTTTCACGGTTCCAAATTTTCTTGCTGTATCCTATTTACTTGTATCATGTACTTATTTCCATCAAAATTTCTGTATTCAATGCTTCCTGTAACTTGAAAATGAATGTTGTTGATACATTCGAAACGTCGTTATTACTCCCTTGAACCTGCATTTTGATCAACTAATGTCATCTGAAGAATATTGTTCGCCCTGAAAATGTAAATTGGCGAATTCTCTGGCCATTAACCACCCGTGTTGAAACAAGCTTATTCTGCCTTCTGATTCTAAGTTCCAAAGTAATAGCTAAGTAGTTATATGATTAGTAGCTGCCACCTTGACGAAATCCACCAGGATTTCCACAAATAGTTGCGGGTTTCGAGCCCGCAACTCAAACCCCAGCTCATGATGGCAAGGTACGCAATTGAATAATATTTATGAATTTGCCTAAGTGAATTCCCAGAGTTTAAATCAGTCTTTGTAAAAGAAGGATGAAAGACGCCTCGGAAGCGTGAGCGTTTGAATTTCGCGAAAGGCGACTATGATAAACTCCGTGAAGCAGTGAATGCAGTGAATATTTCGAACTGTATTAAGAACAAGAATGTGGCTGAGTCATGGTCATTTCTCAAGGACACGGTTATGTCTGCAGTTGATGCATGTGTACCTAAAATTAAGCTTGGTGGAGCCAAAAAAACTCGGTGGATGAACAGTACAGTTTTAGATAAGCTGAAAACAAAGAAGGAAGAATACCAGCGTTATTTACAGACTCGTAGCGATGCTGACTTTAACCTATACGCAAGAGCTCGAAATCAAGCTAAAGAAAGCTGTCGCACCGCAGTAAAAATCCATCGAAAAAAGTATTGCTAAAAATGCAAAAAAGAACCCGAAAGCCTTCTTTTTGTACGCTAGCTGACGTGCAAGATGATGGACGGTATTTCTGATTTGAAAGTATCTCAGCGAAAGATATCCTCTGATGAGGGCAAAGCTACCGTACTTAATTAATCATTTTTTCAGTAGCGTATTCACTGAAGTGGACTTGAACAGTATTACAGCAATTGAGGAGCGCCCAGTCGGCTCTAAGTTAACAAGTTTTGAAATACAAGAAGAATAGGTTCTCAAGCGCCTTATCGCCCACATGACAAGAGTCATGTGGACCAGACGGCTTCGAACCCAGGTTACTCAAAGAGTTAGCAACTGTCCTAGCCGGCCCTTTGAAGTCATTTTTTCGAAAAACTTTGAACGAAGGGATCTTGCCGGCTGACTGGAAAGAAGCTCAAGTGACACCATTATTAAAAAAAGTGACAAAAGCTGCCCGGGAAACGATCGCCCTGCCAGTTTGACAAGTGTCGTTTTCAAAGTAATGTAATCTGTTGTGAGGGATCGTTTGATAGATCATTTGACTGCTAATAATCTCCTATCAGACTGTTAACATGGCTATATTGCCGGGAGATCCTGCACCACTAACCTCTTGTCTACTCTGAACGAATGGACCCGCCTGTTGGACGAAAGGGAGCCAGTAGATGCAGTGTACCTCGATTTTGCCAAGGCATTTGACAGTGTCCCACATCAGCGGCTGTTGCGTAAATTGAAGTCTTTGGGAATTGAGAGTAATGTACTCAAATGGATCAGAGATTTTCTAGTAGGGAGGCGACAACGTGTCATTATTGATGGGTCCGTATCAGACTGGGCTTAATAAGTGCGCAGCGGCGTGCCACAAGGAAGCGTTCTCGGGCCTATTCTATTCGTTGCGTTTATAAACGATCTGCAAGAAGCTGGGTCTAGCATTTGCTCGATGTATGCTGACGACACAAAAATTAATAATACAGTGAAGAATACGTCACAAAAAGTACAGTTGCAAGGTGATCTTGACAGGCTGGTTGACTGGGCTGATAAGTGGCAGCTGCGTTTTAACGCTGACAAATGTAAAGTTATCCGCTTTGGCAAGAATAATGAACAGCAAGATTACAGTATGAGAAGACACGGTTGCAACGACAGAGTGATGATGTCAAAGTCGACAATGGAAAAAGATTTATGAGTTATTATCGACGATGAGTTTAAATTTTCTAAGGACATTGAAGGTCAAGTTAATAAAGCCAATAAACGACTTGGACTTATCAGACGCTCTTTCGAGTTCCTAGATGCAGAAGCGATAAAGCAGTTGTTTGTTTCTGTCGTGCGCCCGAACCTAGAGTTTGGAAACGTCGTGTGGTCACCGAAACTTGGAAAGGACAAAAATTTAATAGAGATTGTTCAAAGACGTGCAACAAGGATAATTCCGGGCCTGTAAGGCAAGTTCTACGAGGAAAGATTAAAGATTACGAAGATTCCAAGCCTCAGTTATCGACGTCTGCGTGGGGAACTCATTGAAGCATACAAGTATACTCATGGCTTATACAAGATCCCAGAAGGATTACTAGAATTTAAAACAAGAACCAACACCAGGGACCACGGCTATAAACTAAAAAAACTGCGTTGTAACACATCCATGCGACAACATTTCTTCTCGCTTCGAGTCACCGACATGTAGAACAGCCTCCCTGATAGCATCGTTGACGCTCCGAGTATTAACGCCTTCAAGAACAGACTGACGAAGCTATGCAGGAGCATATGTTCAGTCATAAAATGCCTAGCAAATTACGAACCAGGTAATAAGTCCAGCAGCTATCTCAATCAATCGTCAGTTATGGATAGATCGGGTTCCAAAGGCCGGATCCCTTGTGAATCAAGTCACGAAAAATTCAAGAATCGGCAACAGGCCATGGGCCTATTTCTTCAGTGCCGACACTTCTATTCTATTCTATTTTATAACTGACGATTGATTGAGAAGCT